AATTTGTGTGAGAATGATAAAATATCCTGATTCATATAATCTTGCCTTTTGTCATGTCAGATCATGTCATTGGTGCTAATAATGTATATTTGTGAGAATGATAAAATATCCTGATTCATATAATCTTGCCATTTGTAAGTCCAGATGATTTTTTCTATCTCCTCATTCAAGAAAAGCATATTAAATTTTTGGTGATCAAGGTTTCTGGGGATTTAAGCGATAAGGGTGAATTAGAAACATCACTCAATCTAACTTGCTTATGAACTATCTAACTTGCACATGAACTGGAATCAATTATGTTTAAATTTATTTTTGATTTTCTCCTTAAACAAATCTGAATCACACACAAATCAGAGATAAATAAGGGGAAAGAGGAGTTACAAGTGACAGAGGAAAGCCATGGCTGGGCTCTAATGATTGCGTCCTTCATTATTTTCTGCTGGTTCACCTGTAAATTTAGAGAGAAAGAAAGAGGAAAGGGCCTGGGACTGTTGTTCTGCCTTTTCTGTTTGATTGATGGCTTGGGTTTCCCGCTCGGTGGCCTGTTGCTTAGCCCGCTTCAGTGACCAGAAATTGAAGGGGTGTCACTTGTGAACCGCTCAATTAAAACCAATCTCCATGAGCGGCTCCCACTTGAACGGGCGTCTGTGTTATTGGATTCCCCTAAAGGTCCATTTGGTTGTTAAGTGATTTGAGGACCCCCCATAACTTTAGGGAGCTGTGATTTTGTCTTTCCAAATGGAATAGTTCTCTTCCCTGAGCTGTGGAATTGTTTCAATGCCGTTTTGAGCATGGCTTGACGAAAACCATTGTTTGGATTTGCCACGGCTACAGGGTTTGGTACGACTGCGGCCATTGTGATGAGTGTGAAAATTAACATTGCATTGTTCAGACATTTAGCAAGAAAGATCAACTTGGGCAGGATTTGAACCAGCAACCTTAACTTGAAGCTAAGACACTATACTAGAAGTGCTGCCTTTTACCAACTAGGCTACCAAGTCTGTGCCTGATGTGTTGATTTTAGAAAGTATGGC